TAATCAGCTGAATACTTTAATACCTGTAGGAATTGCAATAATTATTGTAGCTGATGTGAAATAAGCTCGAGTATCTACATCTATACCTACTGTAAATATATGATGAGCTCATACAATAAATCCTAATAATCCAATTGCTATTATAGCATAAATTATTCCTAATGTACCAAACACTTCTTTTTTCCTTCTCTCTTGCCTAATAATATGTGAAATTATTCCAAATCCTGGGAGAATTAAAATGTATACTTCAGGATGTCCAAAAAATCAAAATAAATGTTGATATAAAATTGGATCTCCTCCTCCTGCTGGATTTTTAAACTACTATATACTTGAATCTTGACTAGGCTGATAAGTGTTATGCATTTTACTTATGTACAACCTTTAATGCTGCAATAAATCATATCATATCATATCATACTGGGGGAGCAGCTTCCCCACCCCTCTGGGACCCTTAGCGAGATTACCTATATAAAGGGCCCAGCCCTAGGAGATAGATCACTGCGACGAACACCTCACATATCCTCTCACATTCCTTGGCCAACACGAACAGCCACCTCTGCGTCACTCGCAGCTCTGCCATACCTTGATATGTAAAATGTGCTAGATATATGTGTGGTACTCGTAAAATTGAGAATAGAATGAACGACTTTAAAAAAAGGTTCGTAAAAATTCAATCACAAGATAGGAAGATCGCATCTCCACTGGAGCAAGTTTTTTTTAAATTTCCTTCCTTCTCCTTTGATATACTAGGAATATTCTCACCATATTTAAAACAGTATGTGGTAGGTCTATTCAAAGTAAACTACCTTTTTCCCATGAAATTTTCATCGAAAAATTATTTGTATTCGAGACATAGATGGTTCAAAACATATTTGGTTTTCGTCATAAATTATGCAACTGCAGATATGTACATCAAACTTTGAACACAGATTTCTTAGGAGAAAAATAGTTCATTTTGACGAAACCTACATCAGTAGTTTATTTTGACGAAACCAACCACATACACAGTTCTTGTAATGTTCTCAGCAACTTCACTCAGCGCCGTAAGAGTTAAGTAACATTCATCAATTTAGAAAATTGTGAATATCTCGAAAACGATCACCTCTAGCGTTGTTGAGGAAGTGTACCTTCTTTACTTGGAAAAGGTGTAAGAATACAATTTTTTCATGTAAAGTACCAAAAGTTTACTGTCAAAAATGTAACGGTAATTGGAAATAAATAATGACAGCGTACACAGCGCCCTCGGATATATGTTACATGAAAATAATTATTATTTCCCATGTCAAAAAACCCTGGGTAGGTACCAAATTTCGTGCAAATAATTAAATAAATAGCTAAAATTCAATTTGACTAGCATGTATCTCAGATGTCACTTGTATATTTCAACGTACTTATGTTACATCCTGTATATAATACCATATTCAGGAGAACTTTCATCAGGACTAATTACCAAATTATTACGTAATTTTTTTGTCATGTCAACGCCGTCGTGACACTCAGGAAGTGAGTAACTGACGTAAACAAATGTGAGTAACATGACGTCATTGGGTTATGTCTCATTTACGTTATATCTCATGTCATATGACGTCGACACATGACGTCACCGTGGTTATCTACTCATGTGAAAAAAAAACGTCATCAAATACAAAAAGATCATCAAATACCAATTTTTTGTACACGAGAAGGTGGGAAATAAAACATGAATAACTTTGGAAAATTTAATAAAACAATCGTTTAAAAAATAGGCACCTGTGACATGGTTTCCACATTTAACAATACAAATGAGTTTACGAAATAAATGAGAGCTAACATTTCCACTTTCCAGGCGGTGCTACTAGATCTTGAGGTTTATGTCAATGTCAAAAAAAATACAAATTTGGTTGGATAGCCCTGAAGGCTAAGACCTGATTGCCGAAAATTTTCAGAAACAGGTATGTATGCCCTATGTTGTTAACAAATATGAAAACTCAAGTTATGCTATGGTTCGAGCTTACTTGGGTTTCTTACTCCCAATTTGGAACTCTACACGCAACTTTTACATTATCAGAGAAGAAGATATTCCGAGTAGAGGCCAAATTAAACGAAAGAAGAAGAATATGTCATGGAAGACCCCAAATCTCAGTAGCAGTGGATAATTCGAACATATTACCACTCAGTCTGTTTAAATAAATGAAACAATACAGGCTCATCATTTGCCTAAATTGAATTATGGAAATTAATATTTTTATACTGGTAGTTGTAGTGATCATGTTAAAAAAATACAATATACACTTTCATGCACTAAAAATTAACTCCAAATTTCAAAACTAGATTTCCTCAAACTAGAAACTGATTTATCGGTACCAATGCTCTGGTAGAAATCATTTCAATTCGAACATACAGGGTACAAAAATGAGTCGAATGTTTATTACCAAAATAGAATTTGGCTGATGATGGACCTATATTATAGGTCCGAAACATACCGGGTGACAACGAAATACAAAGCGTCATTCAGATGTTTTTCCATGTTGGACTTTTGATTTATGGTTCGAGGATATAGTTTCCTAAAACCCATATTGTCCATGAACAAATAATTGAATATCACTTTACCGAAAATTGAACAAGGTAGAGAATTTCAAATGGAACTCTGTAGATGTCTTTACTACATTCGATAGAGCGAAAAAATGTTTTTCTGTGACGGGAAAATAGTTTGACATTTCATCTCTGTTGGCAGGTTATAGAACGCCACTTTTCATAAATTACTTTTTTTCCACGTAAAAAAGTGAGTTTCCCGGATATATATACAGGGTGTTTCAGATTTAAATGTACATACGATACCTGTAGATAGAAAACACTTTGATGGTTCCAAATCAACCCCCATTGATGTGTCCGCCGTCTTTATAACTGAGATACAAAATGATTTTGGCAAAATCTTCATATGGTCATAATTTTTGAACCACTTTGTATAATCTATCCATATTTGGTACGAATATTTCACGTATATTACCCATCAAAACTAAATGAAAATCGGGACCATAATCCAGGTCGGTCTTGAGGAAAAACAAAAAATTTCTTTTACGAGCGCGCATCCGATTCGACAGATATTTCATCGATATTTTCTCAAATACTCAGCTCCATTTTGATGCATTTTTTTGAACTCGTAATTCAAAATCCAATTATTTCTCGCATAAATAACAGTCTCCAAAGTTCAACTTCAATGGATCAGAGTCAAATTAGGTGAACTATCGACAGATTTATTCGTTTGACAGAATAATTTGACAGAATAACTTATCTGTAGTTTTAGAAATTTTTGAGGGCTCATTATATTCTTCACTATTAATTCATGAGCTGCGGTAAAGTAGGCTGTGCAAAAAAGAAGAAGAATTTCATTTAGAACAATCACTGAAAGGGATCCTGGTTGGCAATGTTTCATCAAAAACGAATCAGAGTGCTATTTTATTAGGTATTGACCGATGACGTCACAGTGTCGCCATAAAGGTTTTGGAAAAATGTCTCCTGTGCTGCTATTTTGAAAACAAAAGTCCACTTGTAATATGTCAATAAAATGGATTCTTTCGCTTTATCGAATGGCGGAAAAATATCTGTATCTACGGGGTTCCATTTAATATTCTCGACCTAGGTCAATTTCCGGTGACACCGGAAGTGATCTCCAATTGTTTTTTCATGGAAAGAATGGAACAACTGAATGACGCCCTGTTCAATGATTTCGTTGCAACCTGGTATACTTCTATTGTATACAAATTGTAGAGGAGATTTTTGGTCTACTTAATCGTTACCACCGATACAACAAGGCCTGTGCGCTCCGCGGTGACGTCACCTTAGTGAGGCCTAACAGCGGCTCGAAACGACAAGCGCTTATGGTCGTTTATGGTGCTATAAGGCGACCGCGTATTTCTATATTTTAGTTTTAGATCATTATTGAGCCGATTTTGCTGTTTTTTTGAAGGGCTTCTGGTTGAAAGAGGATGCCAGACGTCAACTGAGCCCTTCTTCGCATCTCATTCGATTTTATTATGGAAAAACGAAGTTTCAAAGCAAAAACCAGAATAAAACACAAATACCCACCTACAGCAACCCATTCGAATTAAATATATTGGCAAAAATTGTAGTGATTCAATCTCATTAGAGGTAAACTTCACACCTACTTATACAGGGCGCGCAGAACATTAACTTATCATGAGATTGATCGAAAGAAAATTGGGTAAAATCTATTTTAGTTTGATAGACATGCCGTTTGTTATACCTAATTACCTATATTTATCTTGAAAAATTAGCCAGTGCGTGTTTTCAATTTCCTGTTGTTGGATTTTTTACCCAATTGGTCGTTAGACTTGAAACAGTAATTTTCAAGTAGAGTGTTTGTAGTACATGTTAATATAATAGTTGCAATTTGATCATTGGAACGAATTCTGCATTCATTGCCACGAGGCAAATGACCGTTTTCAGAAAGAAATTTGAGAATGTATTGAGTTAAAAATGCCCGTTTATTATGAACATTCAAGAATATTTCCTCGAATTCAGAGATGATTTTGTTGAATATAATATACGAATACAAAACTAACTGCACAATCAAATATTGCGGATAGAGTAATTTTCCTCTACTCATACTTTTTATGAGAATGTAATTGTCTTCCATTATCAATTCATCATTATAAATTAAGTTCTGTTTACAAAATTCGCACTGAATTTTTCTAAGTGTAATATAGCAACAATAACCTGCTAAATATGTTATTACCGGCATGTCATCACTATATTTATCTACATCAGATTCCTCGACTATGATATCTGGATTGAAAGAATGATTTTCTTGGATTTCTTTGGTGAAATCAATATTTTCGTGGCCTGATTTGTATATTACCGTAAGTACGAGATTTTAGCGTGAGCAGTGATTGAATTCTGAGCCTTTTTTTCCGATTCATACAATTGTCGAATAGATATGTGATATTGTCCATCTGAAAGTTGACGATATTTCCCGAACCTATGTTTCAAATCATCTGTTTGAAATGTTCCTAGTAAAACATAATTCATCTTGAGTATCGGTGCTAACGACTCAATTCGTAATCACTAATCACACTCCCACTACGGTTACTCAGCGAATTCTACGTCAGAACTAGATAACATTTATTTCTGCAATTAGCTATTATGGATCTCAACTCATTTTGTAGCATTATCACAATGTGACAAATTTAACGAGTTGTACAGATGCCTACAAATAGAATAAACTATAGATCAGATCTGTTTAAAATGGAATCTCTTATATAAATTACTTTATAAAAATGTATAAATTACAATTATTTCTCTTATTCTATTTCATAAGGCACGCTGACACTTCAGAGGAAGAATTGGAAAAGTATTGTCAAAGTTGCGTTGTGATCACAGATTTCCTTATTATTGCAGTTTCTGTTGTGTTGACTTTCGATACAGGAGATGAAACGACCTCTGACGAAACCAGCCACGGCGATACCTTACTCAGGGTCGGACTCAGTGGAGTAGGTATTTTGGAGTTGGTTGCATCTGGTTCTTTTTTAACCTATAAATGAGAGGATCGAACAAATGCTTTTTGTGTACAACGGATGCAAATTATTATCATTAAACACTATGTGAATTACAAAGTGTGCGGCCTCCGGGGTCAAACTTTAAAACCTTTCCAAAGGTTATCAACAAACCGCATGAGCATTGTTAGCATTTAAAATTGTTTCAAACAGATATTGATACATTTTACTTGATTATTTGGAATTTTCTCTCGTTTTCATTAAATACAAATAGGAGTATCAATTCAACATATGTGTAGTAGATGAAATTTTCATAATTTGGTCACAAAGTAGATGACATTTTCATAATTTGGCCACATAACCTTATGGACCCAGATAATTTTCTAGATCATGTGAACAATGCCGAACCCACCATAAAAATCACTTTGGAAATTGAATCTGACATTCAGTTACCATTTTTAGATGTCCTTATTAAAAAATCAAACAATGCTTTCATAACAAGTGTATATCGTAAAAAGACCCATACTAACAGATACCTCAATTTCCAATCAAATCATCAGAAAACTATCAAAAATGGAATAATCAAATCACTTTATGATCGAGTCAAATCAATATCATCTAACAAACACATTTTCAATAACGAAATCCACCACATTAAAAATGTTCTTCAACTCAACTCCTATCCAAAGAATTTCATTGATAGAACGATTCACAAAATTTAAAACAAACAAAATACACCACAACAAAAACAACCATCAATAACGACGAAAAAATAAAACGTGTTGGTGATAAGTTCCAAGTGGAAACAGTTTTGAAAACTGAAAATACAATGAGATCCATTCTAACTCAAACAAAACCGAATAATGAAGAACAATCATCAAAGAATAGGCGACTGGACTGATATTAAATATCGCGCTTTATACTACTTCACCGTGTTTTTATAGACCCTTACTGATTTTTGCTTCCCATCAAAAGTCTCATTTATTCGAATTACGAGTCTATTCTTCTTTCAAAATTGAGAAAATTCATAACCAAATACAAACGAGCCATTTCAGGACGCCATTTTGGATTCGTGATGACGTAGGTTGTGAAATTGTGCTCTTATTGGTCTATTGATGTTCCATTTCTACTGTATACCCAATGTTGCCAGATCACCAATTTTAATCAAGTTGTTCGGGAATTTGTCTTATTAAATTAGCAATCAGTGCAAAAAAATCTCCGAAATAAAAGCTTCAACTCACTCATCAATAAAAATGAAACATATTTGATAATAATTATAACATGACATAGCAGCATAGGATGACCAATAAGTGAAGGTTGACTCTCTTTTGCAACATTCTATAAATGTATTTTGTAAACTTGGCAACATGCCCAATTGCTTCTGACTTATAGAGTAGAAGCCACTGAAGAGAAAGAAAAAGAAGAAGAAGCGTAATACACGATTATTCGTAATTTAATTTGTATTGTTTTGATGTGTTCATTTCATATTTCATACTGTTTTTGGTTTATTCCCGTTGTTTTGTTTTTGTTGTGTTCGTTGAGAAAGTCCGAAATTTAATTCGATTATTGTTTCATATCTCGATTTGTTGATTGATTTACCATTATCATGGAAGCTGGATTCGAGAAAGCAACAAACCAAAACCTGCCAACAGTTGATGCTACAATGGTTTTTGATTATTACAAATCTAATCCAGACTTCTCCAGTGCTGAGATAAAGAATGTGAAAGCCTCTAGGTAAGTAATCAAACCCATATTTCTGAGATGAACTTTGTTATGTTCTTATGATGAAATATATTTATTTTCATAGAATTTTGTTTATTTCAGGGCTACCAGAGAAGTGTATGGTGATAAAGCTATTGGATATGTTCAGATTAAAAGGGTTAATCATATTTGTACCATGAAATCCAAGGTGACTCCTGAGCACAAAGTACACAATAAGGGGTATAATGTGATTTTAGAAATTGATGAGGCTGAAGAAAGAGTAATTCTATGCAAATGTTTGGATTGTGCTGCATCTGAAGGTATGTTGATATCAATTGCTTGTGAATAGCAAGGGCCATGAATAAGGCTGCTCCGAGTTTACCTATCTTAGTATGCACTGCAGTCCACATCCACATATTTTCATTTTAGGGGGCTGTAAACATTCAATTGCATTTCTCCTTTGGGTACACAGAAGATCTGAAGAACCTTCTGTAACATCTGTTGAATGTTACTGGAAAGTGTCAAAGTTGTCAAAAGCAGGTTCTACTATGAAATTTATGAAACTTATTGACATTTGTGGAAAAGCCATATCTTCAATGCCAGATGCAGATGACAGATTTTTACAAGAAGTCATGAGGGAAGGTGAAAATCGCTGTTGCAAGGGAACTCTATTCTTGAAAGATTTTCCAAATGATCCAGTTTCATTGGTGTCACTTCACAAATTGACATTGAAGTTCAAGCAGGGTAGATCTGAGTATAAAGCAGATGAATTTATTGATTATTTGAAGAATGCAGTTTCCAAAGCAACCTATAAGCAAGTTGAATGTAACACAAAGGACCAGTCAAAGTCATCTGTGTGGTATGAAGTTAGATATGGTAGAATAACAGCTTCTAAGGTGTATGAGGCTGCTAAATGCAAAACTGAAGATGGAAGTCTTGTGGAATCAATCTTAGGTGGCAGCAAAGTTATTGAAACCGAGGCTGTCACTAGAGGAAAAATACTGGAAGATTCTGTGTTTGAAGAATTTTCAAAACGAAATGGAGAAAAAGTAGAGAAATGTGGCATTTTTCTGACTGAAGAATATCCCATATTCGGTGCCTCTCCAGATGGACTGACCAAAACCCATATTTTGGAGATAAAATGCCCATTTAAAGATAAAACTATCTTAAATTACATAAATTCTACTGGTAATATTACCAAAAAACCTTTTGCACAAATGCAACTACAGATGCTTTTGACTGGTTGTGTGGCAATGCCTGATTTCGAATCAACAAAAAATTTTAAACAAATCGAAGTTTTCTATGATGCACCATTTACAATGCAACTTTTGAAGGAAGCTCTAGTATTTTGGAAAAATTGTATTTTCACAAAATTAATGAAAATTTGATTCTATGTATGTATTTATTGCTTTATGTTTGACTGATGTATATCCAAATTATTTTAAGTTTTGAATGGATTCATATAGATAACTGTTTTTTTACAAATAGCTTCAACAAGAATTGTTTTCTTGCATACCTATTTCAATATCAATATAATATTATACCTCACTTTTTTTATACATTTCACTTCAAAATATTGATTCATATGAATTTTAGTATTTTTTCAATCCTCGCTACTTTTAAGTTTAGTTGAAGTATAGGTATACATCATAAATCTAAAATTTTGTAAGGATATTGAAATCGTTTAATGCACTTAGTATTTATCATTACAGATCTCAATTATTTTGTATATTATAATATCAGTATATTGAATACATCATTTAATGAATAAATTCTTTCTATACAAGTATTAATATTTTTTGAAATCCTATCCAATTCTAAAATCCTTTATTGCTTTTTAAAACAAATTTTCATAGTTTATTGGTACACATTTTACTGCTCACAGGTTTTAAACAAACAAGCAGTTATTTCACTTGTAATAACAAAAAAAGTAAATTCTGTATATTTATTAACAAGTATTCTCATTCTTAGAAACCTTTACTTCAGAAAAAAATAATCCTATGTATTATGAGTCAAACTCTAAGAACACAATTTGGGAAAATATATTTGAAATTACCATTTATTTTAAAAAATCTTATTCAGACAACTGACATCAGAATACAGCATTTCTTTTTCTTTTTAAGTGAAACAATATGGTTTTTTAAAACATTTTAATTTCATGGTATAGGTTCATATTGATACAAAATTATTTAATCAAGACATGTTGGAGATTTATCATGCCACAAGCAATCAGTATCATGTGGTCAAGTAAATATAAAATTTTATGATTAACACAAGAATGCATTTTCAATATATGAAATTCACGTAATCGTCTTATTACACGTTCAATATGAATTCTCAAAGCAGCTATTCTCTTGCTTTCTTTCACCTCAGACTTGGAACTTTTATGATCGGCCGCAACACTAGGTGGCCTGACTAATGTACAGTTTTTTGTGGCTAGTAATGAAACAACCTGTTTAAATCCACGATCAGCCATAACCTGGGTATCATGTGGTACAGTGTCCAAGTATCCAGACAACTCTACTATCACTTTGTCTGTTGCTCTACCACCAAACCCTGGAGAAATGAAGTTGATGAATCCATGAGGTGTTGCAGATATCAAATATTTCATGGTATTGCATTTTTTATATTGGGACCATGTCATTGCTTGCTTAACAGGGTCTGATGGTATCTCAATTTCAATTTCAAAGCAATCGATTATTGATTGCACCTTACTATAGCGATATCGAAATGAAATTGGTAACATGGATTTCACATGAGCTGAAGGCTGCCAGAAAATTAATTTCTTCAGAAACTGAGCCAGCATTGGAACAGTTTTGTGAAATATTTTGGCAACATATGAATCAGAAATACCAAATTCATCTGCTAATCTTGAATTAGGATCATTTAATCTGATTTTTTTCAAACATATCAATATGTGATCAACAGGTGCTGATGTGTGTTTGGATAATAAATCAACAATGAAATATGTATCCTCAGGTACTCCTAGATAAAATCTACTCTTAGTTTGCATTAGAAATTTTGTTCTGTTGATATAGGCTGATAAATCATTATAGTTTTCAAAATCAGATTCATTACAGCTTGATGTTCCTGAATTTGAACTGATCCAAGGATCAGAAGACATTGTAGATATTGAACTAGATTTGGATGGAGAAATTTGTGGACTGCTTATAGATTTGAACTGTATTGAGGTGTTTGTAGATACTGTACGTAGCTGAGCTTTGCCTATTCTTGTATTGACAGCAATACTTCTGTATTTTGGTCTAATATTAATTTGGCACTGTTTATCAACACCTCTGAGAGGTTCAGTCAAAACAAAATAACAATTTTCAACACT